GTGCTGTGTCCCCGAGGCTTCCTGTGAGGAGATGTGGCCCGCCAGGTGCCAGGAGGGACGGTCCAGGCTGCAAAACCCGCACTAATGTTCCGAAGTAAAGCTGAAAGGCAGGGGAGCTCTGGCAGTGGGACTAACTGAACCAGCTCCCCAAACAAAATCAGAGCAGAAGCAATTCCTTGTCTATATAAAACCCAGTCATTAATTTAATGATATGTTTGGTCTTGATGTCAATGAGATGTCAGTGAATGGATCTGGATTTGGCAGGGTGATTGGGCTGTGTCAGGAATTTGATAGTCATTGGATGAATTGCCCTGGAGATGGTGGCCAGACTGCGGTTGGCTTTCAGCTGGTATCAAAGTTTCTGTGATAGCATCCTAGATCAACATTTAGTTTCTAGTTGTGCTGAGCTCTCTGAATGCCTTAACAGAACTGACATGTGAATTATACAAGTTTAAGTCATTTGTAGCAGCTACTGATAAAAGTTGAATTTATTTTTCAGCTTCCTGACGGAGTAAATATTTCCAAAGAAGCTCGGAGCGCAATATCTCGAGCGGCAAGTGTGTTTGTGCTTTATGCAACATCATGGTAAGAATTTGTTGCATCAGATGATCGGTGCAGTTGATTTATAATTCACCTCTCTGCTGGCTGAACTGGAGATTTTTTTCCCAGTGTTTGTTTTGGTATTGTCTGTTTATATAAATAAAACAATCTTTAGTGTAGCCCAGTCTGCAACTGGGCGGTTGGGTTTGGGCTGCCCTTAACAACCTGTGGGGAAGGCAGCTTGGCTCCGTACACAGGGATGCCCCAACTCCACCAGTGACAAGAGGGGTCCCAAACTGCCATTAGCCTTAGAATATGGCTGCATGGCTTTTCCTGGCAAAGGTGAGAGCCCTTTGCTTGCTTTCCAAGCTACTCACCATGTGGCTGCATTAGAGCAAGTGTGAGCCAGCCTAGTCAGCCTTGGAGCCAGCTGTCACAGAGGACACAGTAACGTCTTTGGGGTGGCTCAGAATATGCTGTGCAGGCAGTCACTTCTCTGGTGTTAAGTACTCACGTGGCTTTGTGGAATTGTCACCTTACAGCCAATGTTCAGACTTTCTCCTTCCACCCAGTTGTAGAAAAGGTCCATGCAAGCAGAAAACTAACATTGTGGGAAAGCAATGCAACTAGATGAAAGCACAAACAGCCAATGTAAACAAGAAGGTATCTTAAACTACTCTTAGTAAGAGATTAAAAAAAACCCTGGATGTTTAAGAGATGGCTTTTTTTTTTTTAAGTTGTTGTGACTTTAATAAACAAGACTAAATTGAGGACAGTACCAATTAACTCTGTTTTCCTTCTTGTTTTTGACTAGTGCAAATAACTTTGCCATGAAGGGGAAGAGGAAAACGCTGAATGCTGGTGATGTTCTCTCTGCCATGGAGGAAATGGAGTTTCAGCGATTTGTAGCCCCTTTGAAAGAATCACTGGAAGGTATCGTCCTCAGTTCATGTCGAGGGAGTCTAAGCAGCACCAAGTCCTGTTTTCCTCGAACACTGGACAAGCAACACTTACTTGCCTGTCTTGTTTCTCTTCTCTTTGCCCAGCATCCTACACTGCAGTTTGCCTGGGGAATAAATAATGTGCACCTTAACAGGACTGGGATAACATTATTTCACAACTGATGAGGATTGGGAAAGTCTCATCTGCTATCACCCCCCTATTATGTTTATCTAAGGAAAGTCTTAGGTGCTACCTGTAAATGTGAACTCCTGCGTCCTTTTCAGCATTTTTCTGCTGAAACTTAACCTGATTTCCTATGGAGCTGGTCAGCACAGCTCAAATAATAGGGTGAGTTGCTGCTATGAGTTCACTGCTCCCCTTGTAAGCCTGGAGAGCAAGTGGACGTTGGACTTCAGCTACTGTACTGTTCATGCCATGGAAACACTGGCTAGCAATTTTCCAGTGTTCTCTCTTTTTCTTTTAGTTTACAGGCGTGAACAGAAAGGAAAGAAAGAAGCAAGGAAAGATAAAGACAAGAAGGCAGACTCAGAGGAGCAAGATAAGAGTCGAGAGGAAGAGAATGATGATGATGATGAAAGGATGGAGGAAGAAGAACAAAATGATGATGAAGAGGTGGACAACTGAGCTTGCTGATGAGATGTGTGCAGGGGCTGGGTTTTATTCAGAGGGCTATAAACGCTGTAAATCAACCTTGCTGTGTCCCCTCTTGTTTCCAGTAGAGCTTTGTACTGGTCCTCTGGGGCCCATCCCTTTTTGTCTTTCACTTGTATATAAAGGACTTCTGCTAAAGCTTTTCTCATGGAAGGACCACTCCTCCCCACGCATAGGAGGCTTGGCACCTTCCCCAGGTTCTGAACAGACAGTAATGGGACTGGGCTTTTTATGCTGGGTTGGCTCTGAAATAGAGGAAAAAAGAAATGTTGGATGCTCAGTACAGAAGCTGGCCAGGAGAACTTGAGAGACTGTTGAATAAGCTCGTTAAACCAAGTCAGGGGCTGAATCAAATAGATCATTAACCCTTTGGGGTTTAGAATCTACATGATGATGTCAGGAGGCTTGGAAGCTGAACATTTGAGCTTTTTATCTAAGTGACTTTTTTTTTTCCTTCATTTTCTTGCATTCTGGCTGTGCCTTCTCTTTCTGCTGTGACAGTGATACTGTATCTTTCAACCTTGCCAGTTGTATGCAGCAATACAGTACAACTGTACAAGGACCAGTGGGTCCACTCAGCTGACTTTCCCCACCAAATCAACCTAAATCAAAAAACTCCACAGCACTTACGATGTAAACTAAATACCAAAAGTGCTTGTTTTGTGTTTTTAAAGCCCTGGGAGACCAAGAGGAATTTTATTAAAAATCTGAAGCAAAATTAATGGCTAAAATGTGTATCAGGATGATAAAAGCCGGCTGTATCAAGTGGTACATTTGTTGCAAGTCAGCAGTGGGCACCAGTGCATCTGATGGTCTCGCCTCCTTTCCCTCCTTTGCAGAGCTGCAGTTCCTGCAGACAGGTTGGTGACTGCAGCAAGTTTAAATGTGGTAGCATAGAGTGGTGGATTTTGGTGCGTTGTTTATTTTCCAATTGGAATGGACTAATTATATCAGAGGGTCCCTCTTTAGCCTTCGACAGTCATTCCAGAGATGTGGACTACCTCTCAGTGCGATGGGCTCCAGGAGGGCAGTGAGGACAGGATATTCCTACCTAGGAAGGCCAGCCTCGGGCCTGTGGTTTTTAAAACATCTTCAAGAAAGATGGGTTGAAACAAGCTGTTTGTATTCCTAGTACTCCTACAGGTTTGTTCTTTTACACTTTAATTCTTAGTTTTGATGCCTTTCCTTTCTCTTCTCTGAGAAAGTATCTATTAGAATAAGCTCCCTTTTTGGGGAAAAAAGCTTTATTGTTCAACTGATCTTTCTGAAGACTAATAAACCTAATATTTGAACTTCACCAAGGTCTGGTGAAGGAAACTTGAGGAAAGTTTTAGATATGTTTAAGTAAAACCCATGAATTTTGCTGATGTGCAGTTTTAAACTAGCACTTGTGAGGAATAGTATGTCCTTTTCACAAAAAAACTGATGCAGAGCTACCCACAAGAGCTACTCTGCTTTTATGCTTTTACGGCATGATGGCTTTTCACACAGAGAAGCCGAGCTCCTGAAAAGAACTGAATCAACAAAGATTTTCTGCTGTCTAGTTTCTACTGGTGTACAGTCAGTAACAGATGAAAAGACTGAGTTGATGATGTCTTCCCAAGATCTCCAATAATAAAAAAGGCCTGCCTTCTAGCTCCTTTTTTTTTTTCTTTTTTCCTCTTTTAGTACATATCTGGGGTGCATATTCTAGAAGGGAACAATATCTAAATAAAAGCCAGATTTTTTACAGAAATGGAGTCTCTTATTTCTGTCAGTGATAAAATGAGCGGGTTGTAGTTGCATTAAGCACACATCTGAGCATGCAGTGAAGGCAGAAGCAAACTTGTTATGAAATTGCTTACGGAGCAGCTGACAGCAAAGGGAGGATGAAGGCTGCTGCAACCCGGCCTTTGTGTGAGAGGAGCAAGGGGAGCGCGGAGACTCGAAAGAACTAGATTTGCAGTTATTGGAGAAACGAGGTTTGGGTGCTGGTGTTTGTGTCCCTGGTGGAAGGAGCCTTCAGCTTGCCGTTGCTCCCGGTGAGAGGCACTAGGGTGGGGGAAAGAGAGGAGAGATACGGGGTCTGGGTTTATGCACTGCAGCTGGCCTAGGAGACTGTTATTGTGTGAGAGCTACAGAACACCATGCAATAAACCCAGTCTGTGCCTCCCCTGTGCTCTGATGTGATGGAGAAAATAGCGTGTCCTGCATGTGTGCTGCCAGGCCTGCAGCGTGGCTCCAGCCTCCCTTCGCCTGGCTGGTCCCCACAGCACCCCCAAACCTCGCTCCAGGCCCCTGTGGCACTACAAAACCTGGCTCCATACCACCACAGCACCCCCAGCCTTGCTCCTGTCCCTCATAGCACCCCAAGGACCTGCTCTAGGCACCTGCAGCACCCCAAAGCCCTGCTCCAGGCCCTCACAGCACCCCAAAACCTGGCTCCAGGTGCCCCTGCAACACCCCAAAACCTGTCTGCATGGCCCTACAGCACACTCAGCTGTGCTTCTGCCCCCCCCCAGCACCCCAAAGCCCTGCTCCAGACGCCCACAGCACCCCAAAGCCTAGCTCCAGGTCCCCCTGCAGTACCCCAAACCCCATCTGCATGGCCCCACAGCACACTGAACCGTGCTCCTTTTACTGACCCGTGCTCCTGCCTCACCCCAGCACCCCAAAGCCCTGCCCCAGACCCCCGCTGCACTCCAAAACCCTGCTCCATGCCCCCACAACACCCCAAAGTCCTGCTCCAGAGCCCCGCAGCACCCCAAAACCCTGCTCCATGCCCCCCCAAAACCCTGCTCCAGGCCCCTACACCCCCCAA